GATCATGTTGTGCGGGGTCGAGAAGCCTCACTCCGCGCAAGGGGGATGATCTTGCCAAGTTGTGTTAAGATGGTCAAGCACCCACGAGGCAGTTACACAGTGCTTACAACTGTCTCTGGAAGTGAAAGCACCAGAAAATAAATTAATTCATACGCAGCTGTCATCCGTACGCAAGGAAGTAAGCACAAGATGCCGAACACCCTTAGCAGGATGCAGCGCACCCTTCATGCGACTCGCCGAATATCTCACGGCGCTTCGCGCTTGGTGATGTGAGAGCCTGGTCCGGTGAGAACCCGGCGTGCTCCGTCCCGGCTTTGTAGGGATGCGAGGTCCATGGTCTAACGACCACCGCATGCGCGACTATGAGTACACCTCCCCCGGTACGTTGTTTTCCGGCGGTACCACCATTAACAGTTCCCGGTACTGCAACATATGGCCTTACTTTTTTCGGCGGTTCCCGGTTGTGCCAAATATGGCGGTAATTTCTGGCCGTACTGATATGTGGCGGTACCGTCTTCGTTCCCGGTACCACCGAAGTCACGGGAAAGGTAAAAGAGGTTCCACCGAAAAGGAACATGACAGAACCAAAAGGAAAAAAAGGAAAAAAAGTTTGACGCTAGAAGAAGGAAAGAAAAAGAACGAAAAAAAGAATGAGAGAAAAACAAGTTGACGTTCAACGAGATTTGAACCCTTGACTTTAGAAATCTACCACCCGCTACGTCAGATTCCTCGGGTGTCTTTTCTTTTCTCCCATCATTCTCTCCCTTCTTCCCCTCGCTCCTCGACAAGCTTTTGCTTAGACATGGGTTGTAGTGAAGGGGGGGGTCTTTCTGGCGAGCAGGGCTAGACTCACCCTCAAGGGATGACCGAAACCTTCTTGCTGCTGCGCATATCCGCCGCGAGGCATGCGCGTGGTGGTGTAGTTGGGTCGGCACTGATGGGGTCAGGCGAAAAAATGTAGATGCGCGGGCCTCTGGCCGTCGGCGTAGGCAGCGATGCCCATCTCATTTTTTGTGCGCGGAGGCAGACACCGTCAGAAGGTGGACGGGAACTATGTACACGGCCCTAGGTTGGCTAGAGGGCGCTGCATTGCCTCAGTAACCTGGCTTCGCCATCAAAGGAGGAGGGAGCAAGTGGCGACGAGCTGAAGTAGGCTGGTTGACCATTCGGCGCGAGAATTATTT